CGTTAGACCATTGACCTCGCATCCCTACAAAGCCGGGACGGAGCACGCCGGGTTCTCACCGGACCAGGCTCTCACATCACCAAGCGCGAGGCGCCGTGTGGTATTCGGCGAGTCTCATGTAGGGTGCGCTGCATCCTGCTAAGGGTGTTCGGCATCTTGTGCTTACTTCCTTGCGTACGGATGACAGCTGCAGATGACTTAATTTACGTTCTGGTGCTCTCACTTCCAGGGACAATTGTAATCACTGCGTAACTACCTCGAAGATGCTTGACCATTTTAACACAACGTGGTGCGATCATCCCCCTTGCGCGGAGTGAGGGTTCTCCACCCTGCACAACATGATCTACTCGACCACCATTAGGGCTACCGCAAAGAAAAAAAAGAGGACAAAAAAATCGGCAACCTGGTTGCCGAGCTGACGAAGTGCATTGGCTTGTTTTACAACGTCGTTGCCAAGCGACGAAAATCCAATCCCGATGGCAAGCACCGAGGGGGGTGGGGGGCTGATTGTTTCGATGGCGATGCCTGGCTAGCTGGGACGGAAGCATGCCGTAAAGGCCTTCCCTCCCGCCCCGGGCTTCCGTGTACTCACAGCGGCAGCTCACAAACGAATGGTTTGGAGGAGCAGATTCGGACTTGCCGAGCGTTTCTATGCATACGACAAGCGGTCGTGACTTAACTAATCATCTTCTCAGCAGCCGCCCCCTTGGGCATGCTGCAAAACATGAGTATGCCCCCGCCCCCCGCCCCCCGCCCCCGGCCCCCTCATTGGCGTGCACTTGTTCTCTTCTCATCCAACAAACAACAGTGTCGGGCTTGCGTAAGATTCTGAAGAAGCACGACAAGCAGGTCAGGGACAAGCTTATCGCCAAGAACTACCTCAGCACCCGGGCGAAGGAGAAGTACTCATCGATGCGGCAGCTGTACAACAATGCCGGAGTCATGGCACTTGTCGCAAGCCTCCGCAAGTGAGAATGTTTTTTCGAAAGATGACTCAAAAGGTTCATCTTGTGTTGTTTTCTTAGAGTTATCCCTGCTGCTTTTTCCTTGCCTTGATTTGTCGTGCTTTTTGTGCGCCATGCCTTGGTGTATGCCAGTTTGTCGCGTCTCTCTCGGTGGAAGGTGTGCCGGGTGGTGATTGAGATAGTGTCCTCACCGGGCGGGCGCTACTACGAGCTGTATGTCGTGTGTTTTATGGGGTTTTGTTTTGAATATCTACATGTGCATTGAGCTTCGAGGGTGTACAACTCTGAAGTGGAAGAACGTTCTTGATTTTCTGACCTCTGACACGTACTGTCAATCCGTACTCGCGTCCCTTTCACCCTGCCCTCTCCCTCCTTCACGTGCTGCGTTTCCCACGCTCTTCTCTCTTCTTGTTTGTTGCTGTTCAACGCGCACGGCGGGACCAAACTTGCCATGGTATATGCCGTGTTTACGGTACCGTTTTCTCCAGCGCTTTCGAAGTGGAAGAGGGATTGCAGATCCGCATCCACCGAGGATCCGTAGACGAGGAGAGGGGGCTGCTGTCGGCGAGGGCGAAGCACAGAACGTTGTCGGAATTTTCTTGCACGGAGGGTGTTTTGGTGGAGATCGCCAACCAGCAGGTGCGGACGGTGTTGTATGTGGGCTTGTCCAGCTCGTTGTCGGTTGTGTGGGAAGAAGTTGGGCGTGTGAGGCGAGGAAGAGGCGAACAAGGGGGGATGGAGACAAACATAGAGGTAGTGTCAGCAGTATGTGGACATATATGTAAGGGGTGCATGCCAGCCGCATGTACCTACTGTAGACACGACCGCGCTCGTTTGTTCGGGACTAACTCATTCCCCTCTCCACCCTTGTTTTTTTGTCCATCCTTATCCCGCTTTTCTGTTCCAACACAACAGAGAGCATTGGCTGAGGCCCAGTACCTGACCACCTCAAAGTACCTAAGCCTTCAAGTACTGCTGGACGGATGTGCGTATTATATCAGAAGTTTGTTCCAAGTGTTTACCTCTGGGGTGTGGGACCGACTGCATCCCGACCCACGCGATATACCATGTATTAGTCGATAGTGTTTGCCAGTCTTGGTGGTGGTCCGCCGTGGTTCTGTTGGCGAACCACAGGTTTTGCTTTCTGTGGGTGTATACCGCCGGGGTACCATCCACAAACTTGCCGTCACAGAGCAGCCTACCCGTTGCAGATGTTGGTGAAGTTTTCGAAACGCTAGCCTCTCCTCGAAGGGCGCGGCCGATCCCGGGTTGCTTCTGAAGGGGTCGTTCCAACGGCAGCACACGAGGGCTAGCAGAGCCAGGTTTAGCAGAAGAAGTGCCACCATTTGTAGCAGCTTCCAGTCCACGCCCCCCATGCACTAACTAGCGCTGATCGGACACCCCGGGCTGTATGCTTCTATTGGGTGGTGCCGACCACCCATCGGAAGCCCATCTGCTGGAATCACATACACACACAACACACACCACACATGCATGCCCCCTCTTCTCCCGCGCAAAGACGGCTTGGATTCTTCGTTCACCCTCACTTTCTCAGTACTTTCTCAGTTTGTTCTGTTGGGGTTGTCTCGCTTGTCCCGTTCAGCCCGTCCTTCTCGTCTCTCGTTTGCTTTTCTCTCTCTCTCTCTCTCTCTCTCTCTATCTCTCTCTCTCTCTCTCTC